CTCGTTGTCAATCCTCCTTTGTGGTTGTAGTTTACTCTCATAGTGCCCTCATGGCTCTAAGGTCCTTTAATCCAGTCCATCCGGTTGTTGTCAAGATTCAACATTGGCTGTTTCTTATCTCCAGTAAATTTATATCAGTACAGTTTTGCTGGGTTCCCAGCCATATTGGTGTTGTTTTAAATGAGCGTGCGGATGCTGCCCTAGGGAAGCTATCCGCTCTTGTCCCATCTCCCGTAAAGGTATACCTTATTCCGACTTTTACCCAGTTATTCATTCCTCTATTCTTGCCCGTTGGCAGGGTTGTTGGTCTTCTGTTTTTGGTAACAAACTGCATAATCTTAAGCATAGTGTGTCCCCATGGCCGGTCGGCCGAGCGGACAGCACACTGGGCTTGTGATCCTGTGGTCCCGGGTTCAATCCCGGGCGCTAGCGAGAAACAATGGGCAGAGTTTCTTTCACCCTATGCCCCTGTTACCTAGCAGTAAAATAGGTACCTGGGTGTTAGTCAGCTGTCACGGGCTGCTTCCTGGGGGTGGAGGCCTGGTCGAGGACCGGGCCGCGGGAACACTAAAGCCCCGAAATCATCTCAAGATAACCTCAAGATGGCCTTCCTACTACCCTAACCGGCGATGGGAAACGGCTCTAGCAAGGTTGCGTATTGGCCATACACACTTAACTCACGGTCACTTAATGGAGCGCCGCCCTGCTCCTTATAGTCCAAATTGCATCGTCCTTCTTAAAGTTGGGCATATCCTCATTGAATGCCCTGACTTCCAGGATGAGCTTGTGTCTTGCTTTCCGACCATCCCTCGCGGCCACTTGTTCCGCGATAGAATTCTTGATGAATCGGATACTTTTGATATCGTTCACCTTATGCGTTTCTGTTCTTGTATTGACATCCTTGGTGATAATTAGTGCCCTCTGATTATTCTGCACATTTGGTGGTGCTACATAGCCTTCCCAGTTTGGTGTCTTCTTTTGGTAATTACTGTCTCCACTCGATCATCCGGACTACAGTATATGGGTAGGACCCCCAGCCGGATTATCACATTTTTCGGATAATGGTACTTTTTCACCTACGAGTTCAAAACTAACCATTTCCAACTATTTTTATACTACAAACAACATAATTTGAATTGCCTTGCCACATATAATTATTAAATATTCATCTAGAAACCTCAATTTACCTTGTTGTTCATCTTCTTGATTGATGCCACACATCTTGAAGTTTAAAATTCTTGACAATTTACGTAACTTATACTAACACAACACTAAAATTAACACTTAAAATTACTGTACAGTTCATTAAGCAAAGTTAGTTTTCACTGTCAGCTGCAGAAGCCTCACTGGTTGAAGGCATTTGGCTTGCCTGTGACGCCTCACTTGTTGAAGGCGCTGGGCTTGCCTGTGACGCCTCACTTGTTGAAGGCGCTGGGCTTGCCTGTGATGCCTCACTTGTTGAAGACGCTGGGCTTGCCTGTGACGCCTCACTTGTTGAAGGCGCTGGGCTTGCCTGTGACGCCTCACTTGTTGAAGGCGCTGGGCTTGCCTGTGACGCCTCACTTGTTGAAGGCGCTGGGCTTGCCTGTGACGCCTCACTTGTTGAAGGCGCTGGGCTTGCCTGTGACGCCTCACTTGTTGAAGGCGCAGGGCTTGCCTGTGACGCCTCACTTGTTGAAGGCGCTGGGCTTGCCTGTGACGCCTCACTTATTGAAGGCGCTGGGCTTGCCTGTGACGCCTCACTTGTTGAAGGCGCTGGGCTTGCCTGTGACGCCTCACTTGTTGAAGGCATTTGGGTTGCGTGTGCCGCCTCACTTGTTGAAGGCACTTTGGTTGCCTGTGACGCCTCACTTGTTGAAGGCACTTGGGTTGCGTGTGCCGCCTCACTTGTTGAAGCCGCTTGGTTTGATTTTCATACCACATAAGAATCAAGTGTAGCTTGCCTTCTGTGTTCACTGGCCAGTTGTATGATCAGCTCTTTTGTTCACCTCGGGTACGGATACATGTTTCCAACCTCTGGATGAGCACAATTGGATGAAAAATTTATTAATCCGTCAACATAGGTCATGAGTACACTGTATTTTGTGGTCATTGGTGTTGGTTCTTCACTTCCTTCTTCATCCTCTTCGTTGATCTCACCAGTAATAGACTGGAGAATCTCGTCTTCAATTATCACACCATATCCTGGGTCATTGGCTTCTTTTTCAAGCCAATCAACCACATCCTGTCTTTCTAAGTTTTCGCCGGCATTTCTAAACATTCCATGGATTTCATCTGTAAATCCTTCAAAATCCATTTCTTCATCCTCCTCATTTCTGACCGTAGACGTGAAGAGTTTTTTCCAGGAATTTTTCAAAGTCGATTCCTTTAATTCACTCCACACCTTGGCCCAGTTACCCAGTTGGCCACCTTGGCCTTCCTTGATTGTATAATTCTTCAAATTCTTATTTTTTTTTTTTTTTAGCCCTGTTATCCACACCGAGTTCAATATCTTCCGGAAGAGGCAAAACCACCAAAACTTCGTTTAGCATCTTTTTGGTGTACAACCTCTTCATGGCACAGATAACTCCCTGATCCATAGAGTGGATGGGAGTGGTTGTGTTAGGAGGAAGTGCCATACACGTTATCTTGCCATCATGTGAGGTTAACGTGTCAATTTTGGGGTTGGCCGGCGCATTATCAAGCAGCAGCAAAGCTCGAACTTCGCTTGGCCTTACCTTGAGTTTCTTAACTTGATAGGCACGAATTCCCTGCAGATCACGCCATGACACCAGGAAAGAAAGATCTCCTGTGTAAACCATGCATTTTTTGAGTTATAGTATTTGACTGGCAGTCTGTCCATGCAATGTTGCAAGGCTCTTGGTTTCTTAGATTTGCCAACAATTGCACACGTGATTCTGTCTGTGCCGTCGGCATTCGCACACATCATGGCTGAGAGCCTGTCCTTGTTGACTTTACGTCCTGGCACACAACCCTCACTCCTCATTGCTAGAGTTTTTTCTGGTAAACTCCTCCAATACAACCCAGTTTCATCTACATTATAAATTTGATACGAATATAAATTATTTGCCACAATGTATGCTCTTAATTTCTGTTTAAATGGTTCTACACTGCTTTCATCTGCACTCAATTTTTCACCGACAATTTTCCTCTTCACAATATTGTGCCTACCCTTGAACCTTGCAACCCACCCTTCACTCGCTTCGAAATCCTTTATTCCAAGGCTTGCAGCAAACCTGCTTGCAGCTTTTTGTATTTCTGGGCCGCGAATTGTCATGCCAGCTGTGCGGTGCTGAGCAAACCACTTGTACACAGCCTCATCCAACTGTACATGCATCAAAGTTTTCATAGTCTTTCTACCACACCCTCTTCTAGTGCTTGCACCTTCACTTTCACAGGTTGAAATGAATTTCATAAGTTTCTCTTTTTGTTTCTTTATATCAGAAACAGTACTAATGCCTATATTATATTCCTTGGCAACACTTGAGGTCGACCGGCCATGTTCACAAAGTTGTATAACATGTAGCTTGTCCTTAATTGTTAGGACAACCTTCTTCCTCTTAACACCTCCAGACCGATTCATGCTGCAACCAGACATAGTCTTGGCCCAAAACGTTCAAAGTTACTAGGAAAATAAAAAAGTTTTTAAAAAAATATTTCACTAATGGCGCAGCACTGTGGTGTAACACGAGGGTAGAGAGCACATAGCTTGACCAGGCCTGAACGGGTCAAGTCGGGGCAGGGAGGAGGCACGTTATGTAGGCTGCCAGGAGGAAAAAAAATAAAATATTTTTGAAGGAAACTTCAGCCTGTGCAAATTGTTTTTAGGAAACTTGTATGGTATTTTTTATTACATAATTACTAGTATTTCTTTTGATTTTGGCTATGATGAATTGTTCTAAAATCGATGGTAATTCCTGTACTGTAGTGTATAGGCTGCTCCCCATCCCCCCCTTATCCCTCCAGGTGGTCCCTCCCAATGCTTCCTTCTCTCCTGACACCACCCACCCCACCCCACCCCCTCCTACACCATGCGCCTCGAGTCACAGGCAGATGGGATTAATACCGTACGGACTGCCTCATGGTTTTCATATACGGAGAAAGCTATAATTATCCTGCCGACTGTCTGGATAGTGTAACATCGGCAGAAAATTAACCGGCCCCAATATTTTATCCGACCAAACCAGCTTTTATCCAGTTCCTGTGGCCATTTTGGCCGGATATTGTGATAACTTTATCCGATCATGATTTTGGCCATATAAGGGCGTTTTCCGGATGTTCGAATTCCGGATAATCGCGGGGTTTACAGTACTTACCACTAGGACCTGGTTGTAGCTCATTGCTTGCTTGTCTTATTAAGAATCTGTCTATAGACACTTGTTTTTCCCTACGTTTTAACACTTAAGTCTGTAGTATGACATTGTCTCACTATCAATTATCTCTGTTTTTTCTCTATCGTCATCCTTTCAACTACAGTCTTTTCTTAGGTTGGTTAGGTTAGGTTACTTAGGTTAACTCTACCACTGACTTTCTTCGAACCCATGGCATCATATATAATAACTTTTATGTTCAAAAACCAAAGAAGCACAAAAACAATGAAATTCTTCACATAGAATTCAAGCGCAGTTGTCACGTGGTGGGAGACACTGGTAAATTGAAGTGTGCCACGCACTCAGTCGGCCCATACGTGTATCAACAAACTCGAGTACTGAGTCCTATTTTTTGAAGAAATTGAGCTCGAGGGCCAAAAATTAAAAAACAGGGGCATTCAAAAACTGAGGTTCCACTGTAGTCAAAAGGGCACTTTTGTAGGTCTGTTGAACTTTATTATTCTCATGTATTTTAAAAATTTGAATTGCACAAGGTTATATATATATAGGAGCACAAATTGAGGGCCACCAGTATATCATTTGAATAATATATGTATATTGTCTTAGTAGATTTGCTGGAATATATGTAATTGTTTAACAGTAACACTAAATTGTCACTTATTTTTGCAGACTGTTGGGAAATCCTTGACGAAGGCCGCAGTTGTGTTCAGCACAGGATCTGTTGTCTCACATTAACTCAAATTCTTTCAACTCTTGATCCTGTGTTATTAGACATATTTTATTATATTGGAATAGTACATGTGTGCACCTTCCTTGTATTTCCTGCAAGTCTTTTTGTACATATTTGTTTAGCTCAAGATATGCTTAAAAATCCTGACAAAAGTAAGCATATAGTATTTCAGCTATGGATAGATACCAAATACTTTTGTGTGTTTAATTTTTTTTTGAGTGGCACTTGTCATTGAAATTCTAAATACTTGTACCTTTTTTCTGGGTGTTATAAGGTATGTTTTCAGCCAATCATCATAAAAATTATTATTTTCTATCATGTTTAACCCAATGATACCAGCTTCTTTTTTAAACAAAATATCACTATCATGTTATCATTGTCATTCCAATTCATATCACACACCTTAAGTATTGTACGCTGACGTTTTTATTATTATTACACTATTATAATAATAATGATCATTATTATTATTATTATTATTATTATTATTATTATTATTATTATTAAATGTGTACATGTTGAGCAGTGAGCATGTCAAGAATATGCTGCATAATGGCTAAAATATTGATGGATATACACCTAAGTGTTAATGCTTAGTGATTTATTTCCTACCATTCTCTTTTAGGAAAGTAATAAAACATTGGTATCCAGTTGATAGTTTAGCTTATATGGATGGGACCAGTTGCTTGACTCAGGCACCCTAATACTGCTTCATCACTATCATCTCCATTTTCATAAATAATTATTAAATTGACTATGGCTGCCTCTATTTTTTCCCTTTAAAATTATTTCCTAAAACTTTTATCGTATTCTGTATTTGTGAAAATCAGTGATGTATATTTTTATGACCTTTTTTTCTTTTCTTTTTTTTTTGCATTGGCTCTGATAGCTAAGTAGAGTACTGTGTGTGTTTTATCATGTCGCTGGATGGGTACAAGATAACTGCCTATATCAGATGACTGTAGACAACAATTATTTCTGTACAGTAGTCAGTTGAGGCATGTGCCCACCACCTCATTCATTATTACCAATTGGCTTTAATGTTTAGTAATTGAACAATGCAAAGTGTCATTAGCTCATTATGTAATGAATTATACAAACCATTTGAATATTAAATAGGCAAAACTACAGATTTACGAGTCTCGAGGAAAAAGATGTGAACATCTCGAGTTGCTTGTAACTGGTACACACGAGTGAAAATTGGTGTAAAAACAAAAAATGGAATACCATCTGAAAAAGGAATGTAATGTGCATCTGAAGAAACATTAAGATAACTTATAATTATTGAGGGCTAAGGGCGTGAGTAGCAGAGATCAAAGTGGTTAAGGGAGATGTTGATGGTGGTGCTCTAACTGGCAAGTGAGGACAAGTGACTTAGTACTTAAATACATTTACAACATTATTGCTGTCTAACTACTCTTATTCTACTAAAGGTTAATTGTGTAATTTTTTGGGTATGTTCTAAAAACATTTAGTTTTTCAAACATTTAATGATAGCTTAATACATTGGTCCTTAAGCTGTATAAAGGTAGTAAACTACCTCTTGTAGTAGTTAAGGTTCACAATGGAAAGAATGTTATAATTAATTTCACTTTACATTGTATAAATATTAATTTAGCCTCAATTTTGTTAGAAGTTTTGACAAAGAAATTTATTAATTAGCATAAAATAATTTAACAGTTCATTAAACAAAATCGTTGTCTTTGAGTGTATATACTGATGGTACAGTAGTGGTACAACATGGTCCCAACACCCAGAATACACTGATGTACAGCAGTGGTACAACATGGTCCCAACACCCAGAATACACTGATGTACAGCAGTGGTACAACATGGTCCCAACACCCAGTATACACTGAGGATGGTACAGTAGTGGTACAACATGGTCCCAACACCCAGTATACACTGAGGATGGTACAGTAGTGGTACAACATGGTCCCAACACCCAGTATACACTGATGTACAGCTGTGGGACAACATGGTCCCAACACCCAGTATACACTGATGTACAGCAGTGGTACAACATGGTCCCAACACCCAGTATATACTGATGGTACAGTAGTGGTACAACATGGTCCCAACACCCAGTATACACTGATGTACAGCAGTGGTACAACATGGTCCCAACACCCAGTATATACTGATGGTACAGTAGTGGTACAACATGGTCCCAACACCCAGTATATAATGATGGTACAGTAGTGGTACAACATGGTCCCAACACCCAGTATATAATGATGGTACAGTAGTGGTACAACATGGTCCCAACACCCAGTATATAATGATGGTACAGTAGTGGTACAACATGGTCCCAACACCCAGTATACACTGAGGATGGTACAGTAGTGGTACAACATGGTCCCAACACCCAGTATATAATGATGGTACAGTAGTGGTACAACATGGTCCCAACACCCAGTATATAATGATGGTACAGTAGTGGTACAACATGGTCCCAACACCCAGTATACACTGAGGATGGTACAGTAGTGGTACAACATGGTCCCAACACCCAGTATACACTGAGGATGGTACAGTAGTGGTACAACATGGTCCCAACACCCAGTGTATACACTGAGGATGGTACAATAGTGGTACAACATGGTCATTACACCCAGTATTCACTGATGGTACAGCAGTGGTACATGGTACAACACCCAGTAGACACTGATGGTACATTAGTGGTACAACATGGTCCCAACACCCAGTATACACTGATGGTACAGTGGTGGTACAACATGGTCCCAACACCCAGTACACACTGATGGTACAGTGGTGGTACAACATGGTCCCAACACCCAGTATACACTGTTGGTACAGTAGTGGTACAACATGGTCCTAGCACCCAGTATACACTGATGGTACAGTGGTGGTACAACATGGTCCCAACATGCAGTGTATACACTGAGGATGGTACAGTAGTGGTACAATATGGTTCCAACACCCAGTATACACTGATAATGGTACAGTAGTGGTACAACATGGTCCCAACACCCAGTATACACTGATAATGGTACAGTAGTGGTACAACATGGTCCCAACACCCAGTATACACTGATAATGGTACAGTAGTGGTACAACATGGTCCCAACACCCAGTATACACTGATAATGGTACAGTAGTGGTACAACATGGTCCCAACACCCAGTATACACAAGAGATAATCATGACATTCAAAGGAAATAATTGACTAAGCGAATGTGTGGTAGCAAATGTTGTGTAATTGGGAAGTTGGCATTGATGATGACATGAACGGTGATAGTGATGCTGTAGGACTTGCTTTCTTAATTACTTGTGCTCCAAGAGCTAGTTCTTGTGGTTACCTTGGCAACCCACACTTCCTCTTAACATTTTGTAACTTCACAAAAAAGGCTACTGTACTTCCTTTGATGTATTCATTAGATTATTTCTTATTTGTTAGTTACTTGGTTACTGTAAGGTAAAAGTGCTCTTTTCTGTACAGTTATCAGTAGGATAGCATCGTGGGCATGTTTAACGATTATTGGATACCATTTTGTGTTATCTGTTCCTTTGGGAAATGTTCAAATTTTTACAGTAATTTAGGTTTTGTTTGCCGACCTGTTGCATGGGAGTGTACACAACGTTGTCATTGTTTGCATGATCTCAATTACAGGCATTCTTGTTCTTGTGTCATACACTTGACACAATAAGAGAAGAATAAATACTTGCAGTTGGAAATTCTCCAAGTCTGAATTATTTTTCTTCCATAAATTGAAAATTTAATAAAACTTAAGATTTAAGGTTATTAAGTCTTTCCAAACCAATGGTGCTTTGGAACTCTTTAACTACTAGAAAAAAGGTCATTATTCTTTCTATATATGGAAATGTTGCCAAGAGAGTTCGGCTGGTAGCAAACTCCTGGGGCCAGATTCACGAAAGAGTTACGCAAGCACTTGCGAACCTGTACATCTTTTCTCAATCTTTGGCGGATTTGTTTACAATTACTAAACAGTTAATGAGCTCCGAAGCACCAGGAAGCTGTTTATAACAATAACAACAGTTGTATGGGAAGTTTTCATTGCTTGTAAACTGTTTAATAAATGTAACCAAAGCCGTCAAAGATTGAAGAAAGTTGTACACGTTCGTAAGTACTTGTGTAACTGCTTCGTGAATCTGGCCCCTGACTCCTATTCTAGCAACATTGTTAGTTTTGTTCATAAGCTTTGGATGATAGTTTGTGTATTGTACTGTATATAAATATTTCATACAATTTTATCAGATAGAGATATAATATATGCAGTTTAAATGTATTTTTGTCAGTGGGTTTGTAACCTTAGTGCAGCAAAATAAAGGTAAACTATCTACATTTTGACATGGAATATACATAAGAAACTAGAAAATCAAATCATATGTCAGTGGCAACTTTTCACAAAAAAAAAAAAACTCGTAGGGATGAAAGCATGTAGTGAACTTGGGGGGCAGCACAAGAATGACTTACTTGTAACTAGAGGAGTTAAATTTATAGCTAATAAAATATATATTATTTACAGAATGTTGATTGTAGTATTCCGACTCGTAGAGCAGTGCGCTCGACATTGCTGTTCTAGCAGTGATAAATTATTATATTGGGAGTGCGGTCCAACTCACTCCCACTGAGTCAGTCACTGGTGGTTCCTCGTGTATTTAAGCTGTCTCCCATTTGACTTTTACTTTTCTGGGTTGCTATTCAATTTTTCAATTTGATTATAAGATATTAGATATAGAAGAGCTTAGTTGAAGTTCTGGTACAATTACTTCACTTAGCATGGGTGTAAATATTTTTATTATGTTTAGTTTATGTAGGGAATGTCAGTAATTCATTTGAAAGGTATCTTATGTACAAATATTACAAACTAAAATAAAATTGTACTAGCAAACACTGAAATTATATTAACAATTTTTATGTTGGCTGTAACATATTTAATACTGTATATAATTATTATAACATTTTCCTTTCATGTTTTTGCAGTATAGGTTCTCAGTTATTATCATCACTTGTCAAGTTGTGTTAAAGTCTGATTGTCAGCTCATTTTCTTAAATAACTTTAAGCTCTCTGGAACATGTCCTTAGTTGCCTTAGACATTATTGTAGAACATTTTGGTCTACATAAAAGGTAATCTTTCATGGTGGGCAACATGTTTCTTTATGTATTAATCAGTTTTGATAATGAAATATTTTTTCTGAAACAATGTATTACTGTATATGTATCCATGCCTTATTAAAACACTGAAATTATATACAAATATGAATTCACCACGTCAGAATATCATTTATTTTATGTCTTATATTTTTATGTCAATGTTCAAGTTATTGACTGAATAACATTAGATAATTATATTCTTTTCCCATTCAAATTTGATGATTAACAGTATGATAATATGCCAGCTGATGAGTGCTGTCACAGTTTACCGACTTCAGTTCTCAGTAACACGGCAACAGAGAATTGTAGTTATTCATATTAACCCCTAAGGTGAGACTATGATAAAAACTGCTAAAATACTTTAAAAATTATACAATTGCATGCAAAAAAGTAAGGAAAAATGCAAAAACACAGTTATCTAAGACTTGTAATGTCAGTGCTCAGGACGAGATTGCCAGGTGAGGTGATCATTTGGTCCATGGGCTGTAGGATGTACTATTGCTGACATACCAAGTAAAGAGGAAAGCTGCGATGATCATGTTACAGGGTTTATATATTTGCTGTTTCGCATTAGTGTACAGTGTGTGGAATAACTTGATTTATTTACAAATTAACAAAAACAGTGAGTATTGTATATAGGCACGTAAATCTGTTCCTGGTACAGCTCAGTGGAAGTGTACCGTAGTCCACTTCTTTGTTACTATTCTATCGATTTGTTATCCAGAAATAGATTCATCCACCGGCTGTAAACACCAAAGTGTGATTGGATGATCTATGTGAAAAATCTTACCGGTGGGAAATTATTTTATTTAGCTATTATTATTTATTGTTCATCAAATTAATTCTATTTTAATTACTGTTAAATTATTTCTTCAAAAGTTGACTGTATGGTTTTAATTTTATCCCACCGATTAACCTCGTTCACAAACTTTGGGGAGTTTATTTTCCATTACATGAGAATTAACTCAGGAGTGTTTGGGATGGTTTATATTATAGTGTATTCACATTATTCAAATCTACTAGTTATTTTGTTAGTTAAATTACACCACAGCTTAGCTGTTATAGTAGTAGAAGTTCTCAGTAGCCAGGCCGAACTCAATATGGTCATGTGGTCTACGGTGTCGCTAGTGAGCAGCGTAAGGCAAGATTCAGTTACGTGGTCAATGTCTCTTAGCAACGATCCACATTAGTAACTTCCACTCGTCAACATTCATCTGCCAATGAATTTCACTCTTAAATCTACTACAACAATGCATTCAATTACAGGTATAGCTGATTAAAATAGCATTGACATAAAAGGTGATACTAAACTGCTTTTAGGCATTCATTTTCACTATAACTGAAACAGTATGAATATACAGTAAATGGAAGAGCTCTACAAAATAACAACTGAATGGAAACGACGACTTCCCAGGAACTGATGGTGTTAATCCGAGCTGCTGAACTCCATGAGAGTAACTTCTCAGGAACAGCACAAGGGATCACAGACGACACCTCTTTCAGCTCCGGTTCCAATAAAGCGAGTCCCCCTCCTTCCCGCACCAGGGACACATCTCTCCGAATACATTTTTTATTAATAATTGGAAGGAGGGGTTTGTTTTAATTAATAATTGACAATGTAATTAATTTAGGGAAGAACAGTTATGTTATTTTCAGTCCTCAGACTGTTGATTTTAGTGTTAAAGTAAGTACAGTAATAGCATTTTGGGTGTGAGATGCTCTAGTGATGTGAATTTATAATTCTGGTTTTCTGGAGCAGATTTGTCACATAAGCCATCCTTTAGAGGATTAACTAAAATACTGTAATTGATATTTAATTAATACAGCCATAGCAGTAAATTTTATTTCTGCATATTGTATTAAACAATTTATGGGTGATGTGGGATGTTTTTTCCCACAATGTAATCGCCTCACGGTACAGATAACCTTCCATGATTGTAAGCAATTATAAATGAAAACATAATTTTGGCAGGGGTATAAGTTAACTGCATTACATCTATATGCTGTACTGTACTGTAGATGGATTATAATCATGTTTACATTATTTGTATAAAAACCGGGGAATGATAAATGCGCTTAAAATGGTTAAAAGGATGCCCCTTTTAATAATACAAATAATTTTTGCCAGTTTTACCACCACTTTTATAATACAAAATCTAACTTGATTCACACTTTATATTTTTATTTGCATTTTCATCTTTAAATTCCAGTTAGATCATTCCTATCTCCCAATGAGATACCTACAGTTTTCATTAGGTTAATTCATTAAAATTATGCAGTGGCCATACAATATCTGGAAAATATCTTAATGCTTGGCCTAGAAACTCTCAAGACTTACGTAAGATAGAAACCTTCAGAATTACAGGCAGTTCCCCAGTTATGAATGAGTTACGTTCTGTGACTTTTTGTTTAGCATTTGTTTGGAATGCGAATCAAGAGTTTCTATAGCCGCAATGATATAAGTGGGAGATGCATTCCCAGCCTCCAAAAATCATTACAAAACCAATAAGTTTGGGACATACAATATAAAAACCACATTATTTACCTTGAATGATGGAGCTATCCTGCTTGTCAAGTTAGCTGTTTTTGAAGAATGAAGTGGTATAATTACATGAATAAATAAATTACAATACATGTGCACTGTATTTGTGGTCCGCAATTTTGTAATTGGCTTCATGAGTAAATGC